GTCATGGTCAACTTGCCCTAAAACAGTTGAGATTATCTGTCCTAAATGAAATGCATACAACTCATATACAGGTCCTAGACTACAACTTGAAATGGAACAATCACATCGACCAAATTATATCGAAGGCGCGAAAGCGTCTCTATTTTCTCTCCCAACTTAAGAGAGCGAAAGTTGGCAAGAAAGAACTTGTCCTATTCTTTATAACGTGCATAAGACCAATCCTAGAATACGCAAGTCCTGTATTCCATAATGGTTTCACAAATTACCTCGGTCAGGATTTAGAGCGGATCCAAAAGAGAGCATTGCGAATTATTTTACCTTGGGTCTCGTATGAAGACGCTCATACAATCAACTGGCCTCCAACAACTCGGCCATCGAAGAGACGGTCTTTCAGACAAACTATTTGAAGAAATACTTCCACGATTTCTCCATTTAGTGTAATAGGGTCAAACCATTGCTCTTGATTTACAGAATACGATTTGTATAACTCCTTGCACTTATTGTTTAAATTGGTCCCCAGACTCCTCAGAGGTCCTTGTTAGGTATCTATAAGGGTTTGAATTTTACTTTCTTCATTTTTCCTAACAATTTCGTCCAAAGTTGTATCGTCCACAAATTTCCATATATTACTATCGTTAATGTTGAAGTCATTTATCATTATAATAAACAGCCACGGCCCCAACTTAGTGCCTTGAGGAACCCCAGCTGAAAGTCGGCCCAATCTGAATAAGAATTTTGATTTAGTTTAACCCGTTGTTTTCTTCCTGTGAGAAAGTCTTTGATCCATTTAAACACCCATTGAGGTAAATCACACGTCTTCAGTTTGGAAAGTAGCAAGTGGTGGTCGATGAGGTAGAACGCCTTAGGCTTCATAATAATTATCATTTATAGACGTCGAGCGAGGGGGATTCTACGAAATATAATCCCCCGAGCGGAGGAGCGATGTTTTACTTTTGGATTACTAACGCCCCAGTTTTATGTTTAAAATTTAATTATAATGTTCAACCCCATGTTCCACCCCATGTTCCCCGGGGAACATGGGGTTGAACATTATTCGCGTAGACCATGCGAAACAACACGCATGACAACAAGATGGCCGACAATTGCAAAATATAAATAGTAATGAGTGTGAATAATTAAATTTTAAACGTAAAACTGGGGCGTTAATCCAAAAGTAAAACATCGTATTGACGAAGGTATATGTGTCAAGTTTTTAATTCTCAACTTCAGAGTCTCAACTTGGAGGCTTTTAATTTTTGGTATAATATATCATTTATAGACCCTCCGTTCGGGGGTTATATTTCGCCGAATGCCCCTCGCTCGACGTCTATAAATGGTAAGTGTAGGTCTGGTCTTTATAAATATATTTTGCATTGCAACTTAATCGAGGCGTGCTACTGTATATATAGGGACTAGAAAGGGACTGCCACTGGACGTCAATTTCCGCCATACTTGGCTTTTCACTTTGGACGCGAGTTCTCACTCCAGATACTTACGCAGCCCACTGGTGTCAAGGCGTGCTTGTGATCGCACACCATTCCCAGAATAAGATGATTTACAATGACTTAGCAAACGCATTGTCAGGTATTTTTAATATGGCAAATTAAACTACTTACATGTAATACACAAGTTTCATATTTACAGTATCATATAACGATAGTCCTACGATAGCATGTTGCCTACATGTATCTGTGATATTGTTGAAGTTACTATATTGCTACTGATTTGTTCAGTCTTGTCTTCCGTACTAGGGATCCTGTGGTCTTCGCTGAACTCCTCTGATAAAACTAAATAATAACCAAAATAATCACAAATCGTCCTAGAAGTAAAGCTAGAGCCAGGGTTCCCAAAACATTGAGAGTTTTACCATTGTCGCAAATCAAATGAAGTCAGATCAATAGACCCTTCCAAGGTTAACGACGCCATAATGAAACACAATGGTGCAAACACAATGGAATTCCCTATAGGTAAATTAGCAAGCGGTGCAAACACAATGATGAAAACGATATATTGAAGTTGGCGTCCTTAACCTTGGAACGGCCTATTGCTTTTCCAGATCGTGAATGCAACCCAAGGACAGTGGCGTAACGCTCATAAGGTAGGGTTAAGGTGAGAATTAAGGGCCCGTGACAGTTGTGGGTCCCTTACCGTGGCTACAACATCCCTGCTCAGCATGATCTCTTCTCAAACACTCAGATCGAGATATTGCCTTAATTTGAACCATATCCCCAACCCCGACTCTAACCCCAATCTAATCTTGATCTGACCCTAATATAATCCGACGGCCTTTTTACCTTAGATCACCCACCCTTGCGTGTCGGGGTATAAAAGTAATGCTTGTGGTTTTGTATAATTAAGGCTATGTCTTGACAATTAAGACATAGCCTTAATTTTTGGAAGAGATCATGTTGCCCTGCTAATGATAATGGTGACAAGGCCACTCAGTTCCCTTCATCCACAAAACATGTCTCATGTGGTACAAGTCTCGGTACTGCATTTAAAATCTTCAATCGTACATGTGGATCGGATGCTAAACAAGAAACCTGGGGCGCTTTCCATTTAATGGCCTGACCGGTCAGACCTGAATTCTTTCTCAGTATCAATGGCAAGATCTGGTCTATGTTTCTCAAATATCCAGCGAAAATGGACCTCATTCTGATGTTATCTAAATTTTCCGGTCAGATAAGTCGGAAGCCCAAATGTTTTGTGTTCCATTCAACAATTTGACTGTTCTGACCGGTCTGGCCGTGTTAGTGGAAAGCGCCCCTGGATTCGATTGTCGATTGGTGACACTGACAATCTCGTTCCCCGAGCCTGCGATCCTTGGGAAGGAAACGAAGGCTCTGGGATAATCCATCTCAGAAATGAATATGATTGGTTGCTGGTATACAATGCAATGTTGCAATTTTGCAAAAATTAATTTTTAACCGTATATTTTTATATACAACATGGCGGCCGTTTAGGAGTGTACGAATATTGTTTTGGTTTTTCAGAGCTGTGCTATATACTAATACTACAAAGGAAATGCAAAGAAACGTATACTTAATGCGTATAATATCACAACAGTTAAATGGAACGTGAAAACTTTACTCATATTTTGTGTTGTACAGGTTTTCTGTATAGTTTTAATCTATACATAGTATACAGTACTGTCAGTACACTGTTCTATTTGAGTATTTGACTATAATATCAAATATGTGCTATATTTTGCAAATACTATTTGTGTCAGAAATGGTTAATAACTTTATTAATTTGTCTTTGTGTTATCTAATTGCGAAGAACTAGCTAATAACTAGTTTCAATACATCCAATCTTGGGATTTACTGTTATATATTTTATTATTTAATGTATATACTGTACAGTAAACTTTTCAAGTGCAGGAGTATGTAACACTCATTTTAACTTGTAGCATGTAACCCTTCCCTATATGGGTGCATATGAATTTTTTGCTGTTATAATTTATTTATAGAAGAGTTCAAAAAACCTTTATTCTCTAAATAAACCACAATTTCACAGGCAGTGATATTTTAAACTTGTATTCCAGTCTGCATACACCTAATGCACCTTTCAATCTTAACCCCCAGAGGGGGTTGGGGTCGGGTATATGTGGGGTATTTGATCATCAATTGCTCCCCACCCTGGGGATTTTGAATAGCATTGGGGCAATTTGAACCGAATGACTTTTATTAACATACTATTTATTGCAATCTATTGCAAAATGGTGGGGCATTTGAATAATATTTATTGCCCGACGGTGGGGCATTTGATTGAAAATTTGCTCTAAAAATCAAATGCCCCACCTATGCCTGATACCCCTCCTCTGGGGCTTAACATTGATAGGTGCATAATACATATAATGAATTATTGGATTTCACTATGGCATTTTGCACGTTCATTGGTTCTGACAGGGGGTCAACCTAAAAAATGTGTTGATGCTTATGTTGTACTGGAGTGAGCAAATGACATGAAATTGCATGTATTTGCAACGAAACACAAGGCCAACACATACAGTGAAAAATTAATTCCCTCTGATAACTGTGTCTCGATTTAGAGTTGACCACCCATCAAATTTATGATGTCATATGAAAAACAATAATATACAGTATAATATTACTGACAGCTAATTGTAGCATAAAGTATTTAATGATTTTAATTTATTGAGTAGCACAATATGCCAAATTGGCAATCCCTTTGTTAATCTTGTCCACACAGTAATTCAAAGAAGCCCTGCCCTCTGTACGAGGTTGTATTAATTGGATTCTGTTCAAGAAAACGTCATAAACCTTTTGATCCAGATGTTACAAAGTATGAAATCCAGATTGGGAGACCATATAAATATTTTTAATAAATTCATATACTTTTTTTTAAGAAATGTTCTATTCATATTAAATGATAGTGATCATGCATGCAGCCACCAATACCAGAATTCATTTTCATCAGCTTCCCCCTGGTTATGACCCCCTGTAGGGAACCACCTAGGGTGCAGGTATAATTTTGTGATGAATGATAAAAAATTGCCCAATATAAATGCCGAGCCATAGGTATATTTTTATTACCATGGTCATGACAACTACCCTGTCAGTTTGATTGCAATATCAAAACTTGTTATTTACACTATAAAACAACACATACCTACTCTGAGAAGGGGAGGGGCAACAAAAACTCGTATATTTCAGTTTTTCCTTTCCTATCCAATTCAAATCATGCTGGTCACGAAAACAATTTCCCGATTGCTGATACAATAAATTGCAAAATGCCTGACAATTTGGGCTAGCGACGCCCCTGAATGCTACAATGATAGCAACCTCTATTGCTATTATATCTCCAACCTTGAATGTCCTATTTAGTACTGTAGTTAATTAATTAAAAACCTTGAATGTCCTATTTAGTACTGTAGTTAATTAATTAAAGGGGCTCTACAGTAATTTTTTAGTCAAGTATTGTTTACATTTTTTTGTTATTGTCGCTACTTGACATTGTGCATCATGGCATGCATGCATCTTCCGGTGTGCAGAAGTACTCATACTCATGGATACTGCATGTAAGATACAGCCAAACGAATCTCTGTGGAGTCCCCTACTTAAGATGGCTTTTTGACTAAAAATGATTGTAGAGTCCCTTTAATGGCAGTAATGAGTAATCAACATGAAGTCAAGTACATTTCCAGCCATTGATGAGAAATATTGTCCAGAAGTACAGTGTAATAACAAAATAGGGTGCACTAAAGAGCATTGTGGCTTAATGATCTAATGAGATAATTAACCAAAGATAGGTAGACATGCAGATGGATAGCCTGCACCTGTGCCTGCACACAGGCTATATGACATATATATCATTATATAGTCTGCGTGCAGACTAGCAGATGGACTGGTTAACCCATTCAAATACCAAGTCCAATACTTTCCCCTTGACAAGAAAAAAATCTGGCATTAAACAGCTTAAAATAACAAAGTAGGGCAAACTTAGGCACATTGCAGCTTAACTTGCTCCAACTCTATCATTACAAACTGTAAATCTTTAATACTAATTCCTATCCGGACACAAAATTTGGTTATAATTCAATAATTTGAAAAGTGCTGTTGCATCCCTAACCTACTGAACTGCTTGCAAATATTAAAACATATAAGGAAAGCTATAAGGGCAGTTAATATAAACTGGGCAGTTTATAAACTGTTAATTTCTAGAGATGATATTAAGAGCGACTGTCTACAAAAATCAAACAAAATGAGAAATATGTGGCAAGGCTCAAAATTTTAAATTCGCTCTACTTTTGAATATAAGTTGACTATGGTGAAGTGAGAAACGTTATGTGGTTAGTTTTTAAAAATATTCTTTTGTTTATGAAAAAAGGCAAAAAAATGTTTCAGCTGTGAGGACCGATTTTCGCAATCGAAAAATGGCCGAAATTGCGTATGTTTACTTAATCCTGGTATCCAAACCCTAAATCCAAATAGCCTTATTATACTTTCTGTTAAAGCTACATCACTCCCTCGTTTATTAATAGTGGTTTTATGACAATTTAACAACTGAACACATCTGTGCACAATAAAGAGCGACGGGTACTGATTTTTAATGTTTGTCATTGCATGTAAAAAGTGGCAGATTTCTCCATTTGCCATCCTTTCAAATCTTATGGGATTTTGCACAAGCACTATTGGGAAACTGCCCTTTTCAGAAATGTATTATTTATTTTGGGCAAATAAATTCACACGCTTTGAGAAAGAGTTAACTTTGGTTCATTAAATATGCAAAATCACTGTTTCGCGATTGCGTGACTAAATACCCCTTGCAATCTGAAACTCACTTAAAACATCATTGTTCTTCACCTTTAGTTTAGAGAATTTGAAGAAAGCATAAATATACATACCTTGAATGCAAAAAGTTCCTTTGAGTTGTTCCACTTTTGCAGTTAGCCCTAACTTAACCACATATTAAACTCAAAGTTCAAGGAGTCCAGCAAACAGAAATCAGCTAACAATGTGACGGATATTAATTAATCATGATAACAATAGCATAGCGGCGTGCGGATCGCATTTTTTCGACAATAATCCACATAAAAACAATATTAAAAATACAAGTAATGCATCACAGTGGCATTACTTTCGCCAAATCGACAGGAAGCCCGACACCTATAATGTAAACATTTGGTGACAAATAGCTTTTTCAATATGTCAGTATAAAAATAAAATAGAATTTCTGTAATATTAACTTTGACTGTTTGTTTCTAAGAATATTAATAATTGTAAATAAAAGTAAATTACAGCAATAAAGAAAACCTCAATTCGCAATAATCCACTTAATAGAAAAAAAATATTAAAAAAGAAATGACAACATTACAGTAATACATCGCAGTGGCATTACTTCCGCCAAATCGACAGGAAGCCCGCCACCTATAATGTAAACATTTAGCTTTTTCGATATGTCAGTATAAAAATAAAATAGAATTTCCGCATCATTAATTTTGACTTTTTGTTTCTAAGAATATTAATAATTGTAAATGGAACACGAATGGAAGTTGTGTGAATTGTTAGCTGATTTCTGATAGATTGGATTCCAAGAACTTTGAGTCGATGTATAAGGCGCGGAGATGTAAACAACCGAACGGTCGACAATATTAAATTCCTGTTATAAACTCCAAAAGTGGAACAGCTCAAAGAAAATGTTTTCATTCAAGGTATGTATATTTATGTTTTCTTCAAATTCTCTAAACTAAAGGCGAAGAACAATGATGTTTTAAGCGAGTTTATTTCAAGGGGTTTTTAGTCATGCAATCGGACCATTCGCGTAATAGACTAAATTTTTATCTAAACAAAAATTTCATCACAGCTTGAAAGAGCATCACAAAATTAGTAATATTCCAAAATTTCGTTGCGAAATGTTGTAAAATGCGAATAATATAGCCCTGCGAAGTTTGCAATTTTCAGTCATTTTAGATTACAAACGGGAAATTGACAGCCTGTCAATTTCCCGTTTGTAATCTAAAATGACTGAAAATTACAAATTTCGCAAGGCTATATTATCCGCATTTTACAACATTTCGCAACGAAATTTTGGAATATTACTAATTTTGTGATGCTCTTTCAAGCTGTGATGAAATTTTTGTCTAGACTTGTTGAGATCAAAATTTAGTCTGTTACGCAAATGGTCAATTGCCAAACAGTGATTTTTGCATATTTAATGAACCAAAGTTAACTCTTTCTCGTAGCGCGTGAATTTATTTGCCCAAAATAAATTATACATTTCTGAAAAGAGCAGTTTTCCAGTAGTGCTTGTGCAAAATCTCATAAGATTTGAAAGGATGGCAAATGGAGAAATCTGACACTTTTTACACGCAATGACAAACAATAAAGATCAGTACACGTCGCTCTTTATTGTGCACAAATGTGTTCAGTTGTTCAATTATCATAAAACCACTTTTAATAAACGAGGGAGTGATGTATCTTTAGCAGAAAGTATAATAAGGCTATTTGGATTCACGATTTGGATACCAGGATTAAGTAAACATACGCAATTTCGGCCATTTTTCGATTGCGAAAATCGGTCCTCACAGCTGAAATATTTTTTCCCCTTTTTTTCATAAACAAAAGAGTATTTTTAAAAACTAACCATATGACGTTTCATACTTTGTCATAGTTAACTTAAATTCAAAAGTAGAGCGAATTTAAAATTTTGAGCCTTGCCGCGGTATGTTTGATTTTTGTAGAGACTCGCTCTTAAACACAATACAAACATGGAATTCACTATATTCATATTTTTAATGATATGTTTTATAAGTCTAAATTCCTTTTAATATTCCTCTGATATACAAATCTTCTGAAAACTCTAATATTATCAAGGTTTATAACCGACTTAATATTAGAATTGAGACTCTCTTCAGGTATTTTTATACTACAGTAGCAATTAAGTGAATTAACACACAGTACATCGATTGTTTTTGTTCTTGAAAATTGCCCTTTCCACGCGCTCTTTCAACCATTAGAAACATAATAGCGTTAAACGGCTAAATTATGCTGGAGGAACCACAAATGTCTACATTTAAAGCTTTTTCAAACTGACACAGAGGTGAATGGGCAAGATTACAATTAATTGTGACATTTTTCTTCGACAACACACACAACAGCACACTTCGCGGCTCCTGCCGGCTCTATACTGACCCTGTTTCATACGCAATATTTTCCTTATTCAGTCGCTAACACACCTTTTGTATCCCACAATGAAGAACATCAACATTTCCACCAAAACCCCGAAAAAATCATCATTTTATAGACGAAACAATAAAATATTTCAAACAATTTGTTTTGCTTTTGCCAACGCATGCGCAGTTTGGTCGACATACAGTTTTCTGTATGTCTGAGATGGATTATCCCAGAGCCTTCGTTTCCTTCCCAAGGATCGCAGGCTCGGGGAACGAGATTGTGACACTGAGAAGTAAGTATGTTGTAAATTAATTTCATTTGAATACCACAAATTATTAAGGTGCGCTTATAGTCTGCTATCCTAGGGCCAGTTGTACGAAAGTCGGAAAGCGCTATCCACCGGATACTGATTTTTTCAAGCTTTCTAGAATTGTGCGTTGATTGGTATAACCCAAACTGAACTTTAGTATTATAAATTAAAGTTATTTTTTATTAACTGCGAGGTCCATATCCAGTGGATAGGCGTCCAGCCTTCGTTCAACCGGCCTCAGATGTATTTGTGAATCTTTCAACTAACCTTGTTCGTTCATATCTCTGGGACTTTTGCAAGCTTCCACACTACTCTTCACAACTTGTATAGTTGAGTCTGCGCTTCCTATGTTCTGCGATATCTCTTCATACGCATGCTCAGCTTGTGTAGCATCGAATGTACTTTCAACACCATTTGATGACGTTATTTCCGGCTGAGTCTCCGTTTCATCTTCCGTTGCCATGGTAGCGTACACATAAGTCACGTTATCGGCGGGAATAAACCTCGACATCGTGGTATACCCGGATGTAACTAATGTTGCAGGAACAATGCTTACAGCTACCTCAGCTTGTGACGTCAAACCTGATGATATCTCGTGTCCAGGCTCCTGCATGATTGTACTCGGTGGAGTCTCAGACAGTACAACAGGAAGACCCTAAACATTAAAATTTATGAGTTCACCGCAGCTAGGTAACATAATTATCTAATCATCTTTGGCAGACCATGTCAATACTTGGCCAGCTTTATAATCATGCTCTATTTTACAAATAGACTTTCGCACAAATCTTAATCTGGTCGCTTTTCACCCACAATACAGAAACATATTTAGTATCCAATCAAAACGCCCCAGCAGATATATCAATTTCACAACACAACAACAACTTAATTATAGTTACAACTACTAAATATGCTTGTACTGCAGTTTAACTTATAACTCACCATAACGAATTATAGTTCTCAATATGACTTAAAACTCATTGCTACGACTTACTGTATAACTTATTATTACGACCTATAACTCATTATTACGACTTACAACTCATTGTTACGAATTATAACTCATCAATACGACTTACGACTCATCATTATAACTTAAAACTCATCATTACAACTTACAACTTATTGTTACGAATTAGAATTCATCATTAGGAATTATAACTCATCAATACGACCTACTGTACAACTCATCATTATAACTTAAAACTCATCATTACGACTTACAACTCATCATTACGACTTACAACTCATCATTATGACTTATAACTCATTATTACGTCGAATTATTACTCATCATTTCGACTTCTTACTCATAATTTTGAGCCCACGATAGCATGCAACGAATACTCAGCGACATGGCTATTTTCTGTGCACTATCTGATAGTGTCTTGTTTGCAGATTGTAACAACTTGCGCGATTTAGGTATGTAGGCCTTACAGACTGGACTGTTTTCCATACCTGAATTTGACTATCGGTTGTTATGGTCACAGGTATAGTGATATGACCAGTAGTTACATCAGATATTTGATGACTTATATCTCCGAGGGTATGATTTATAGCTTGCATGGCTGTGACAGCAGACGTATCATCAGATGACATGACCATGGAATATGTATGACCATTGTCAGTCGTTGCAAACTCCAGTCTTTGTCGTTTTAATTCTGGTTCACCATCGGAGCTTGAGACATACGTTTCTGTCTCTGAGAAATAAAATATCAATTTTAAATATTATTTTCAATTGGTAACTCTAATGTTGGCGTATACCTGCTTCGTAGGCTCCTTCTAAATACATCCTTGTCCGTAGGACCTCTTTGGCACGCAACCATCATAGGTCATGGGATGCTTGGGACCGGAAGTGCAATAAATTGTGCACTAGTTTTTCAATGTGCATGCTTGTCTGCGCCGCCCCTGATTGAGCACGACTACCGATTAAGCGCCGCATATGAGAGAAAAAATATTCTAAAAAGTTTGCAGCGCCACCCTCAAATACTGTAAGCGGCGCAGTTATTCTCAACAACAAGGCGCTTAACCAAAGCACTGTCTGAAAAGTTGTTTGTGGCGCCTAACCGCGGAAATGAAATGGCTGATATGAGGAGGTATAAAGAAAACAACCTACCGTGTGCCATAGTTATTCCAGACATATCTCCATGTGATGTTCTCTTATGTAAAGCCAGTGTAGAAGCCTGTCTGTAAGTCTTATTACATATACTACATGTATAAGGTTTATTGTGGGTGTGTACAACATGATGTTTATAAAGGCTGGAATATTCCGTAAACCTCTTCTCGCAACCATCAACTTGACATACGTATGGTCTTTCGCCTAGATTAACAAAACATATTATCAAGACCTTTGATAATTTAGGATACTAATATAAGAAATGTTACTCTCAAATGATATACTTGAGCCCATACTTGAAAACAATTTAATCTACACCCGTTAAAGGGAAATGTAATAAATTGATATTTAATAAATTCGGGTTGAGGCTGCACGTAGGCTATTACAATAGCGCTATGTGCACTACAATGATTGTGTGCGTAAACTATTCGTATCATTCATACAATCGACTGTAGACAAATTCATCGAATTATTATATTAATCAAAAACTGCATAATTATTTCGGTAACAGAGCCCCCTCCATACCTGTAGATTTTATTTTTGTGGAGGTAGCCAATCTTTAAATGGAGCTAAGCTATGCCACATTCTCGTACCCAGAGCCCGCCTTACACACGATCAACAGAGCATGACAAGGACGCGGTGTACGAGAATGGGTTTGCCTCAACAGTCAACTGCAAATCAAAATTTAGCCTCTGAACGAGAACAAAATGCCAAGTGTGTCAATGTCATGTTTATGCGCATATTCTGGGTATTTCAGTCTTATTTAATACAGTGGAATAAAGAAGTGCATTCTGAGAGTTCTTGCAGTTATTCCAGTTAGTCAGTAACTCCTGGCTTAGATAACAAGCTCCAAATGATTTTTGGAGTTGGCAACACAGCAAGTAACTAATTCAACCTTACTTGTATGTACTGTACCTAGCTGCTATATAGGCTGACTCGCCTAGCTATACACATATTTTTGGAGTTAGGCAGTAACTCAAGGCTTAGATACCTTGTTTTTTCATGATTTTTGGAATTATACGTAGCTCCAAATGATTATTGGAGTTAGCCGGTAACTCCAGAATTCATATTTCAACTCTTGAATTACACAAGTTACTCAAGTGTATAATTTGGTTTGGAGTTAGCCCTTTAGAGCTTGGAGGTAGCGTCGCTCCATAACTTCCTACTTTCTACAGGCATGGCCCCCTCCGAATGGAAAGTGAAAGGCAAATATACCTGTCCAATAACCATTGCGCCACCAAAGCCCCAGATGTAAATTACTATTGTTAAAAATCGATTCTCCGCTTTTTCCAGGATGCGACTGTTATTTTTTTGGTCAGGAGGAGGGGGATAGTCTCTGGAACCAGCTATTTTGTTGCATAACTGTACGTATCGCGTGCGCCTTATATAGTTGATAGGAATATATACACTTATAAGAATTTCTGTCGTGCTTCATATTCGCATATGTAAGTGCATTCCCCAAACTAATCACTTGATAGTGAAAATTAGATCCGAACTCCGGGGCAGTACACTATGTGTCCTCGTGCGATTCTTATAGTCGGGTCTCGGGAGCACTCAGTAAAGATCTAGAATACCCCTCATATTCATACTCGTATACGATATATAGGGTCCCGTTTACATGAGACCAGGACGAAGTCAAACTGGAATGAACATGTTTACATGAGACCGAAATCAATTTATTCCCTTTGCCAGACAATTTTCTCTTTCATGCAGATGGCTTTTGTTAGCATGTGTTGTTCCAATGTCAAGGTTACAGCCGAGACCAGTCTGAAATGTATTTGTGTTTACATTCATCCCAGTCTGAAATCATGCCGGTCTGAAGTCAGTCGGCTCGGTCCAGCAGGCGGAATGACTTGAGTCCGCTCCGAGTTATTTTCATTCCAGTCTCATGTAAACATCTATTATAAATAATACTATGACCGAAAGAAAATGGTCCCGGTTTGACTTCGTTCCGGTCTCATGTAAACGGGACCTAAGTTCGTTCTCATACGTATCACTATCGTGAAAGAGGATTTCCACTTCCCGGGACACCGGTATTTTTTCCATGTAACCAGGGGGGTCACATACCTGTATGTATCCTTGTGTGATTCTTATAGTTGGTAGCACTTGCAAAAGATTTGGAACATCCTTCATATTCACAGATATAAGGTCTCTCGCCAGTATGGGTTCTCATGTGTACTTTACGGATGTTGGATGTCGTGAAAGATCGGTCACATGTTTCATAAAGGCATTTGAATGGTCGTTCTCCTAAACATATTAAATCATAGTTATCAGTATCTCAAACATGATGGTCCAGTGTTGGGGGTATGATTAAGGCAGGGGATGGCCATAAAAAGTGGCCTCTATGAAAAATGGTATGTATATCCATTCCTTTGCCACCATACGCAAACAAAGTCTTGACAAAAGTTAATATATTTTTTAACTTGTGTACGTGTGAATAAAAACTATGATTTCAAGTCAATGATTAAAAACATAGATACGTTTAGACAGTTCTTATTCCAAATTCAAGATGGCGAATTTGAAACAGAAATTTACTAACATCCTTCGATAATTTGTGTATCTTGTGATTTTACTTTGCATTAGCGATTCAGAGAAACGAAGTTTGGACTAATTGGGAGGGACTGGCTGATGTGACGCAGCAGATTCTTGTAAGTTTTCAGATGTGTATGTGATAGAACTTCGACAGATTCGCAAATTGGAGAACCGCAAACAAGAAAATAGCATACACTTGTTAACAAGTCATATATTGTAAGTCCAAGCCAAGTCAAGTCACAAGTGATTTGGTCCAAGTCAAGTCACAAGTAATTCACTCCGAGTAACAAGTCAAGTGAAATCAAGTCACTCCTCATTTTGTCATTGACCAAGTCAAGTCTCAAATCATTATGTATACAGTTCTTTTTACTGTGAACTAGTTATACTGCGATATGCTAATCTGGCTGCAAAAGTCACTGTGCAGCGAAGCATTTCCAGTGCAAGTTGTACAAAAGTTCATTTTCATTCGACATTTGCGAAGTTACGTGCGTTGGTAACAAGTCATTTCAAGTCATCAAGTCCAAGTTAAGTCACAAGTCATTTTGTTTCAATCCAAGTAAAGTCACAAGTGATTAATCTGATTAACAAGCCAAGACAGAAGTGACAAAAACTGCGACTCCAGCCCGAGTCTGCTACTCTGGAAAATATAGGAAGAAAAATATGACGCACCTTATAGACGCGAGTGAGGAAAAGAACTTTCCGTGGTTAAAACATGACGTGTGAACAAAAATATTTTCTTCCTAGTTTTAGAGTATATAGATATGAGTGGACAAATATTTTTGTAGTTAGAGTGTTTAGGAATTTTAGGAATGAGTTTAGAATGTTCAAGATTGTCTTTACTGCAAGGTTTTCTGTCCGTGGAAATATTTCTTCAGTGGAAATGGGCCTTTATAGATCGTATGGAATGTTAGTCGGATTGATTGTAAAAGGTTGTGTTAATAAACGAAAATTAGAAAAACGAAATACAGTCCCAGTGGTTTGTTGAGACTCTGCAGTGAGTTGGCTAATTCTTCCAACGAATCCGGCATATTGCGAAAATTCCAATAGTTGAACTCCACGATACTGTATGGTATGGTATGGTATGGTATGGTATGGTATGGTATGGTATGGTATGGTATGGTATGGATACTTACCGGTATGAGTTCTGATATGTTTCTGCAAATCTCCAGATGTCTTAAATCCTTTGTTGCACTCAGAATCAGGGCAAGGATAAGGTTTTTCTCCGGTATGTGTTCTTGTATGACTTTTCAGACCATATCCAGTAGCGAATGCCTTGCCACAGTTGTCATAATTACATTTGTAAGGTTTTTCTCCGCTGTGAGATCTCTCGTGCACCTGAGCAAGAGAAATAAATAAATTGGTATCAGGCTACAAAGCATCTAGTGATGCACGGATATCCACATTGGTGTATCGGTATCGGCTTATCGCCGTTATCGGTACTAAAATAGAAATATCGGTATCGGTAATTTTGTTGTTCATATTGCCGATATTAAAAACTGTTATTAAATATTAATGCACTAATTCGTTAAGCAAATATTCTAAGACAATTAAGAAAACAACTATGACACAGACAATGTTGTGGGAGAAGGGTTGTCGAGGAGAAATGCTCCAATTATACTTTAAACTGTAGCCAAATTGTCACCCCACAGCAATATGACTATGATATAATTATATGTCCTCAGGGGGTCGTGGATCCCCCATGTTGGACTTTACCCAAGGGGTAGTAGTCCCCGAGATGCATGGGCATCCTAAATGTCCAAGGGGTAGTAGATCCCCGTGATGGTTATATGATGATTGGTTATAGTTGCAGTTCAATAGTTATTTTTATTACAAATGAACAGTCACTAGCGTAGTCATTTACTAGTTTATTGCATGCATTTGCAGCATTTCATTCGATATTTTCAGTATTTAGAAACAAATTAATTGAATGGACCTATTACCTATAATAACCAAAATTTTGATCTCAACAAGTCTATACAAAAATTTCACCACAGCGTTAAAGAGCATCACAAAATTAGCAATAATCCGTAGTTTCGTTGCGAAATGTTGTAAAATGCGGATAATATAGCCCTGCGAAGTTTGCCGTTTTTCAGTCATTTTGTATTAAGGTCCAGACACACTAGACGCGATTCGACAACGCGACCCGACTTTTTAGTTTTTGAAAGTTAATAAAACAGCCAATGAGAGAAGATTTTAAAAGATATGTAGACCAAATAACTCAAAATGTTATAACGCCTCTAAATATTTGGAAAGTTTAAACTAGGATCAAAGTTATTGGTCAGTGAAAATCGAAAACAATTTTTTAGTTTTTCAAAGTTAATAAAACAGCAAATGAGAGCAAATTTTGAAAGATATGTAGACCAAATAACTCGAAATGTTATACCGCTTCTAAATATTTGGAAAATTTAAACTAGAAGCAAAGTTATCGGTCAGTAAAAATCGAAAAATCGCGTCGCGTTGTCGAATCGCGTCCGGTTTGTCTGGACCTTTACGCACGGTAAATTGGTGCCGCTTTCTGAAAAGAGGTATCAATTTGCCGCGCGTAATACAAAATGACTGAAAAACGGCAAACTTCGCAGGGCTATATTATCCGCATTTTACAACATTTCGCAACAAAACTTCGGAATATTACTAATCCTGTGATGCTCTTTCAAGCTGTGATGAAATGTTTGTCTAAATTTGTCTAGATCAAAATTTTGTTCATTAGGGAATAGGTCCATTAAATTCAAAAGTATTAAAGTAGAACTGTTATGACGTCATCTTTGAATTTTATGAAATAACATCGAATATCGGTATCGGTAATCGCATCGGCAAAATATCGGTCCCTAAATATCAGTTATCGGAATATCGGTGAATTTCGATATCGGTGCATCACTAAAAGCATATCTATATAAAATATCTTACTTTCCTGTCAGTAATATCTGTCAGTCTAAAACAATTTATTACACGTTAAGTTTTAAAACCAAAACATTTCAAATTTTCAAGCGGTTGCGGCGGAATAAACTGTCAAATAGAAAAGAATATATTATTACTGCAGCTAATGGCTATAAATTAAGTCTATACTATTATAAAGCAATTATACTATTATAAAGCAATTATACTATTCGGTCTCGTCGCTCAGCTCATATACAACTCGAGCTCATGGTATAATTGTTATATATTTGGAGTCAGGACAAGTGTTCAAAAAGTGAAGCCAAAGATGGCGGATTTTGGCGTCCAGTGCCAGTCCCTTTCTATTGTTTTTGACAGCGCGGTTGACACGAAGCTGCAAAAAGCCTTCGTGTCTTGACAAACAGGTGGGCAATTTGTCGACGCTGACCAAAAATAGCGGCTCATTTCTTCTCGAGTTGCCATTTTCGCGTCGAAGAGCAAAAATATAGACTTTCAGAGAATATTTTAGCTGTTTACTATCAAATATGTTTGTGAAACAGTTGATAATCTCACTGAGGAAGGCCAACGGTTTCTAAAAGCTAAAGTACGTCGAAATCCAGCTTTGGAATAGACTATATTTTCACCGGGGAAACATGAACTAAATGGCTATTTACATCAACACTGGATTTTGCTCGTGCCTACAGAGCTAGTTGGATTAAAACAGATGTTAAGAAGAAAGTGAAAATGTGAATTTTGTGAATTATATTTTCATTAAAATGTTTCAGAAGGGCTGCTAATGCCAAACTACAAGTGTAACAGAGCTGTCAGTATACCCATATATCAATGTTTATGTTGAAATGACCCATCTTCTTTGAGGTATAGCTTCAAAATTAGGGTATGCTCATCACTTGAAACTAGTCTTAATTTAGTTTTATCTATACTCTTTTTATTAGAATTAAAATCATTCATGGGAAAAATGTGCCAAAGGGTTGAAGTTGCCCTTGTAAATGTGCACTATTTTTGACATGTTTTGGTTAGTATTTTGAAAAGGTGTTCTGGAAGGAAAATATGTCTTGAACAATACTGGTTGACCCTTAAATTATAACTAGTGTCGTGTAAATCACAGGAAATTGAACTAGGGATCCAAGGATAGTGTGAAGTTTCGAATTGAAAAAGACACTGCAAGAACTGTATATGGTCGCCGACAACCTAGAAAAGCTGATGGCTTACACTACGAAATAAACAGTTACCAAAGGCAATTCATCTCATTATTTATTGCTTTTAATACGCTCGGCACACGAGTAGCGTGACGTTTGAAACAAGCCTAACACACCAGAAACGTGACTTGTGAAACTGATGCAATTTATCTATTTATTGTTGTGATGCTACACGAGACAATTCAAAATTTAAATGGTTTCACCAACAACCAAATTTTGCATATTCTAAATTTTCATTTGCATTTGCAGCTGTCGCTAAAAGCTCCCCACGAGGCTACTGCTATGCTAAATTTATCTAAAACTACAATTGAAATAGCTGTATAAGATATGTTATGAATAATAAGCACTACGTCGTTACATCATTAAAAGGACGCATTTTATCCTCATCCGTTCCGTATTTTATCCGCATATCCGTTCCGTGGATCCGCTCCCGCATTTTAACCTAATTGTGACATGCTTCACAATAACAAGTCTCATTGACCTTTGACTTTTCCCAGTGTCACGTCTATTTTCAGCTTTTCGCATGTGTTGAATAATATCACTTTAGAGTTTAGATTTCAATAGTTTCACAGTTAAGCAGTGTTTAATAAAGCAGTTTTGACAAGCTTAGAACAGTTCTGTGTACAGAATACTACAGATTGATTCTCGTAAGATCTGGTAGAGTTATCGTTGCACTGAACAAGAGTTTGCACCGTTGACAACGGCGTTGTGCTAGACAGTAAACAAAGACAAAGCCCGTGACGGTACACGTTGGCTACATGTACCTCCTTGCTTTTTTTTCTATTGCATAAAGCTTGTTGGCGAGCCAAGCGATTGGCGATAACACGTTGGCGATAACGCATTGGCTATCTCCTCGTCTTTCTTATTTAAATAAGGAGCTCTGACCCAACTGATTTCTTTAGTCTCGCAAGTTATTTTCTTCGTAAACGCCGTACAAACGTTTACCCGCTTCTGTTTAATAGTTGTTTCGCTCTTTGTACTGAGCGTAGCCATCTATTCTGTGATGTAGCACCTTATACAGTCAATGACAATGTATAATGAATACACGGTCTAAATAATATCGATGGGCACTTAATTGAATACCGGTAATGCACAACATAATAGTATTATTGCGTAGAATCTCAAAGGACAAAGATTTTCTCAATATTCATGTCTGAAATATTCATATACTTGAAAACAACACTGTCTCGCTTCTGCCTACGTATACTGTACCTCTGTATAACGAGTATGCCGTGAAAATAATATCGGCACTCAATTGAATGCCTACAATCTCAAAGACTTTCTCCTTATTTACGTCTGAAATGTTTATACATTTGAAAACAACACTGTCGCTCCTTCCTAGCTCTGTATGTTAATAAATTTACCGTCCGCAACAGTATATCAGTACTTGATTGAAAGACCGTCATGCATAACATAAATTTATATATTGCGTAAATTCTCAAAGATTTACTCAATATTCACGTCTGAAATGTTTAAATTTATACATTTGAAAACAACACTGTCGCTCCTTCCTAGCATCGTGATCTACGGCTTCATAGCGCATGCGTATTTGCCCTGCTATAGAAAAAATCGGGTGTTCCGGGGGGAAAGATCCTTTACACAACATGAGAAGCGAATGTTCTGAAATTACAAAAACTTACAATAACGACAACGATTCCTCGAAATTTTTGTGAACTTGGCAAAAGGACAAAAGGAATATTTAAAGAAAATAAATAAAATTGCTTAAATAACCTTCAAAGCACTGACTAAGTACAATAAATCACTGCGAACATAAATCGTATACACCCCCCGGAAAGTTTACTCTATAATTGACTGACTGACTGATTCGTGTGAAATCGCCAGCCATCACAATAGTGTGAAGTGAAACTTCAACAACAACAACAGCAACAGCAACAGCAACAGCAACAGCAACAGCAACAAATCTGTGTTGTGAATGAGTGCAACATTTTTAAGTTTGAGGAAGAACAATTTAACATCAATATGAACTATGAATCATATTAGTACGTCACAATACGCTGCATTACCCCGAAGCGTCGTTCTCATGAAACGTAAGCGAATGGTATTTCGTCTTGATTCATGAAAGCGAAGCTCCCAGACCAAGAATTATTTACCTTTCCAATAAATGAATCATCCCAATACCTCCAGAAAAAAAAACAACACGGCTACGACCGCTTATGATTACAATCATTATCTATTATTCATTCTTGAAGAAACTATACAACAATAACTATTTTAATCTACAAACAATATAATTATACTAGAACTAATTCATAATATCTGAAGGTAAATAATTGTTCAGGTTTCTTTGTTCTCCAACAAGTTTGTTTTGTTAATTTACTGGCAGACAAAGTACCATCACGAACTAATAACAAGCGCTATATGTTCCACGTTTTGACCAAATGACCAATACCGTTCACTGCTTAAATATGAAGGAATGCCACATCCTTAATCTCATGATCACCACGTAGGACAAAACAGGTCCAGAACATCGTAACTAACACCACGCATAGTCTAGAATTAAAACTTTCCTTTTACACACAATTCAACTGGTTCTTTTCATTTTCTCAACTTTGTTTTTCAGTACGAATGTTACTTCAAATCGTTGCACATTTTCACCATAATTCCGTAATTTAGTTTCTAGTTGTTGGACAGCCGACCATTTGTCAATTTCATAACTACCATTTGCCAACTCCGTATTGTTTTTAATTCTACCAAACGAATCAGTTCACTTTAATAATAAATATATTGTGCATTCCTTGTGTTCAACAAATCAGCACGATTGTCAGCGTATACCAATATACCACAGCTTGTTGAAAGTTAAAATAACCATTCCTCATACATGTGGCACATTGTGATCTGGAATCATAAATCCACATGCATATATTTTCAACAAATATATCACGCATTATGCTGTGCACGTATAAATATGTATTCACACATCACAAGTGGTACATCCGAGCGTGGGATACAAGGACATTTCGTAAAACGCGTGTGTTTTCAACAATGAGAACACTGTACAATTTTTGTCCACGTGAACGACTCACGGTCTTTCGAGTTGGTGATGACATTACTTTCAGCTTTCCAATACAATGTTTTCAAGTTATACTGTACATTTGTCTTTCACAAATTATCGACTTTCCCAAATATACCAACTGACACCAGCTTGTCGGAAGTTGCATGTTTGGCATTATTCAAGTCTTTTAGTCACATTGTAGGCTACATGATCGGGAGTTTGAAATCCATCAGTTTTTTAGTCATTCAACCGTTGTTGGCACGATAGAGGGACTGTTTGTTCCTAAAGGCGTAGATTTTCAACAATATAAACACCACACGATTTTTGTTTATATAAACGAATCACCATCTTTTTAACGTGTATACATTAATTTCCTCTGACTTGACAGCACGAGGAATTCAAGTATAACCATGTTCATTGATGGTAGTCGATCCACACTTTTCATCGATATTTCAACATAATCGAACTGCAACATGCTTGTGGAAGACACCATATCCATTAATCTACCTCGTATATATCGATCATCTTATATTATAAGAAATTTTCGAATCCAGCTGAATCACCAACAAATATATATATATATATATATATATATATATATATCACGCATCATTATCATAAGTGATGAAATGGTAACACATACAGCAACGGTTCGTAAAAGCTGACGTATATTTTCAACGATGATAATACTGCAGCCTTTGTCCAAGTAAATCACTGACAGTCTTTCGAGATGGTCATAATACTTTTGTGGTTTTACAGTACAATGTTTTTAAGTCAAATCCATATGTTTATCCAAGTCTTGAAAGCTTGTTCGAAATTTGCGTTGGGCGTTAGCCCATACTGGCAATGCAACAAGTTATTACATTATTGTTTACTAAATTCCAATAAGCCAGTCTGGCGTCGCTATACTGCGTATCCAACTAAGTCGGGTTAAAATGTCTTTTTCAATATTTTAAAACAAGAACATGTTTTTCACTTTAATTGTCTATGGTACCGCAACGTGGCTGTATATTTTGTTATTCTGAGTAACTAATGAGTTTAACAGAAAAGAAAACGCTCTACAGTACGTTGTACGATATGGTGAATTGAAAAACAGGCTTAAGCTTTAATGAGAAAGCTGTGGATTGATAAGGATACAAAGGGATGCAACATGGAAGTTCAGCTTGTATTTTTCAGGTAGTTGTATATCCCTCTCAATTCAAAGCTGTCTTGTTATCGTCGCTACCTTCACTAACACAGACCGCGGTTCCAGATTAAGCTTTAATGTTTTGATTATGCAAATAGTTTGTTTTTAGGAAAAGAAGAAACTTTTAGACGATTGACTTGCTCCAAGTTACAAAAACATTTCCGCAAGGACAATTTCATTTTTTGGCTTTAGACAGAAAAATCGATCTCAATAGAGTTTATTAACTAATACGAAATGAATTAAATTCACAGTTTTGTTTTTCTTTTTTGGAGAACATTAGTCACTGAATATTTAAAAATATACATACGTCCAGTGTCAGCTAGATATTATGTGATTCAACTGTATTTTCTCCCAACTCAGAACCCGTCATTTGGATACACAGTCTTACTCAAAATGTCGAACTGGCTTATTGGGTTCGACTAAATTGCATGTTTTTAACAATTCCATGATGTATTGATAATCAGAAAATCATCATTATGAAAATTGGGGCTATTTCTTCATCATTATGTTTAATTTATTCATTTTATTTTTACTAATTTACACAAATATACTATATGAACAACTGTATTACACAATCCTTTATAATTCTTTATAACTTACAGTCACTTGGCTGTTTTCTAATGTGACAAGAATGATAAGTATTTTTTCGATATTTCTTTGAAAATGCTATAACATTTAGTGACGCCATATAATTTTCATATTGTTTGAGAGAATTATTTCATAATAGACCTCTTACCCTGTTTACGTTTCAATCAGGCCAAAAATTCACTCAAATCCACCCTCAACTGATAATTTTTTCATTGCGAAATGTATTTATTACACATTGACAAAAACATTTCTTATTTTGCTTCTACTTGTTATGGGCAGATACATGCCTTTTACTGGACTATGAAATCATTAATTAATTTTTGAAGGCGCAAAAACATTCATCAGGAATGAAATAAATTTAACACTTCAAAACCGCACGTGATAGTTCATGAGGAATGTGCTGCTTAAACCTTGTTCTCTTGGTACAAAAACGTCTTTCTTTTCGTTTTTGTGATTGGAAATCTCGTGGTAGTAAATTTTCTTTGATTCTTTAGATCTAAGTTTGACTCGATCAATTCACGAAAAACATTGATCTATAAGTTTGACCCATATGCTTCTTGAAAAATATAAACAAGGTAAGAAATCGATTATGTTGATTATCACTGCATATAGGTTGCTTCGTTCTCCTAAAAACTCACAAACTTTAGTCTCGGTCAAACTTTGGTAATTCATAGAGGAACGAAGCTGTCCTGTACAATACATGAAGTAAGAGCCCCAATTGCAGTAGCATCAAGTAGCAATGATAACCATTTTCAAGATGCCGACAACAACAAAAAACAAACTTTTTTCCGCGGCTGAGGGCATTTCACGTCGTGCTAAATATTTAAAAGCCCGTAGTTTACGCCGATACACCTGCCGCATTGATTAAAAGAAAAATGTATGAATGTCTCAATCGGATATTCACTGAATAGCTGGTACGTTAACCAAAACGCGATTGAGATATGTGTTTGAAAACAGTGACATTTAAACTTTCTTCGAAAATTTATTAAATATGTACTTTTTGAAGAAACGCAACTTTCTCTGTTCAGATCACGAGTCTTTCATCACGACTTTTTGGTTATAAGATCAAAAGCCTGTAACAGGTGAAAGAATACAGTTGACACGATCTTGTAGAGGGTGGGCGATTACTTAATTAATGCAAGCATGAAGTTGCTAGCGTATATGTTTTCCAAGGATAGCACAGTATTCTTGAGGGAGTGCATTATTAGCAATAGCAATCTGCCATGATTTAAAATTTTTCTAATGCTCTTGGTTTCTTTGTCAATAATTTGTCTGGTGTCGAAGCTGGACCAACGTGACCAGTTTCATGCATGTTTGCCTACGGCTGCGTTCGAGTTTTTTTCCCATTTTGAATGCGTTTTTCTTTCTTGTTTCAAATTACTTTCGTCAATATAATTCTTTGAGCAATCTCCATAGGGGTTTTTGTGAAACTTTAGAACCATGACACACTGCTGTTGTTAATTATGCAGACAATATCTCAAAGCCGCTGTACTACTTATCCTTAGAAAACAAAACCGTAATAGCCGCATTAATGGTCTGCATTAACACACTGTCTTCCCAAATGATGATGCACTGTAGTAGTCCAGCTATGAAAATGGAATTGTTAAATAATTGGCCGATATATTTAAAGCCCGAAGCAAAGAAGAATGATAGTGCATGAGAGTTTGCAATCACGCCATCCTTGGCTAGCTGTTCTTTATGCTTTCCAAACAGCATCAGTATTCTTTTTAAGTTAAAACTTAGTTGGAACACTCAACAAACATCTATTCTGTTAATCTAAAGCTTCAAATATCCGTGGTAACAATGCGCAACTGCCAACTCTCATTCTCGTTTGACCAGATCTTAAATGTTTTGAAGGAAAAATACGTACAACATTCTACATTCTTCAACTTATGCATGAAAAAGAATTCATATGTAAAACGATATAAAACGATTGTTAAACCGAGGAAGTATCAACGTATAGAAAACATTGAAGAATTGTAATTAATTTTATATTCAATATGTCGTTCTCAGAGAAAAGTATGCGACGTGTCAAAAAATGTTTCCAAACTCAGATTCTTAATTTGTTTGCTGCAATATTTTATTTTATGGTTAGAATTTGCTCATTTTGGGTCGTTTTTCCGTTTTAAAACTTTATTATAATATTATTCAAATTATGTTAAAAAAAACTACATAACATTGTAAGTAAAACAATGAAGAGCACTCATCACGTTGTCCCTCTACCTGAAACCTGAACAAGAATTTTCAAGATTATTGGAAATGATAATTGAACTGAATGGAGTGCAATTTGGTCTGACCAATCAGATTAGATAAGTTTAGAAATGCCATTGATTTCACTGAAATGAATAAAAACTAAAAAGAACAATAAAACAAGTTAAACTTTTCTTCATTACATTTACCGTATATGTAATTATATAATACAACACCTGCAACGTGCTGTGGGAATTTCAGTGTGCGTGGGCGTGTTATATATATTCCCACCGTGTATACAGCAAGAACATTTCAGTAGTTCATTCCCATGTTTACGTTGCTGTGGTAACCAAAGTTTAGTTAGTTTTAATTGATCGGAATTGCTGCAGTAAACAATAATACCAACTGTATTGCGGCATGCAAACACACCGAATGGCCGTGGCCATGAATAGTTATCGAAGTCCAAACTGATGCAAGTTAATATGTCGCAAGTTTTGACATTAATTAAACAGAAGCAATCATTATACCCTCCACAAACAAGGTGTTGCTCGTCAACAAATTCCAGTTCGGATATTTTGTTGGAATACAGAGAAAATTTGCCACGAACGTTTAGTGTAGCAATGTCTAAGACATACAACGTTTCCACGTAGAAAAAACGAAATAGCAGCAACTGCCCATTAGGAGAGAAACAAGCAGTACGTATGTAATTTACGACTTTCGGTATGAGATTGTCAAATACACGTGAATTTAATTCTACACAGTTAGAATGTTGTAATAAATATGTGGATCCTTTATTTTCCATCAGCACATGATATAGACTACTGCATGCGATCACTTTGATTTTATGACGTCCGTGTTCATCTAATAAAACTAAAATGTGTTCAGGAAAGAGTATACGTGCAACAATTGCTTTTTTCAAAACATCAAAAAAACAAACCTCCGACTCCATAATACAAGCAACTATATCTTCTGAGACTGAAAGACATTGACAAGTACCAGTTAGTTCAGGGAAACTGGCAAGACGTTGCGTCATCCCGAAATTCCACAGCTCTGGGATGCCTACAAAGAACATACTTTCACCCATAAATAATTTCGTTGAAGGGCAACGCACCTTTCCACAAGAGAACACACCATTTGTTACTGGAACAAAAATATTATTTGTTATCCAATCGTGTTTTGCTTGATGAAATTTAATGGATTTTACCGACAAAGACCAACCAAGTTTCATGATGTGAAATTTACTTCTTTTATCGTGTATGTAAAAATATCTTCCATTTACTGAAACAGAAACATTATTCGCAAACAAGAGCAAGTAAAACAAATTCATTCTTTGTTTTTTCTTGTTTGACTTCTGGATTACCTCAGTTAGCCTAAACAATTTTATTTCTTTTTCGTGAACATCAGAAACCAAAATGCTTTCATTACTGAGGAAAAAAATAGAACCTGAGATGCCTACTTGGTGAAGCAACGAAAAATCATTACGTTCGTCAGTCGCTTGGATTTCAGCGGCAGCCCTTGCGTTACCTGGAAAAAATCCTAACAAAAGTTCCTGACTAGGTTTAACTGTCAGATCATATTTAACTATTTTGGTGTTTTCGTTAAACGGCTCAAAGACGTACCAGGAATCCAAATAAAACGTTGAAACTAAAACTGCAAAGTTTCTCGCACCACAATACCTTGATACCATGCTGTATCTATTCTCAGTATCGTAAACACATAACTCGTCAATATTTGTTGTTCCAATAAATCTGTCATTAGCCGAGAACAAAACGGAAAATAATTCTGACCGACACGAAAGACTTACTATTTTCGTATTTTCAAGAAGATTCCAAACTGTCATATTCCTGGCGTAATTTGTCACCATTTTGGTATTGTCGTGAGAAAAACAGCAACTTGTAAACTTATTGGGTATTTCTTTGCACACAAACCGCCCAGATTCAAATTTTCCTTCCAAATTAAGTACAGGGGTAAGCTGTCCAGGAAAAATGGTGTTTTCTCCAGGGTGAAAAACGATGCAGCGATGTCGTATATCATAAGATGATACTATTGGAAATACAACGGCAACCCTTTCTACAATAAAATCTTCAATTTTCCAAAGAGGTTTAAAATCAGGAAGTGAAAACAACTCAACTCCTTTTGCATATCCACATATAAGAAAATCTTCTGACGGTGAAATATCAATATCTAAAACTTCTTTTCCAGTTAAAATACGGCCTATTAAAGTCTTTTTAATAGTTTCCTTTTCGTCTTCCTCTTCGAAATATGCAAGACCCCTGTAGCGTGTCATTAACAAGGCAGACGCTTTGGATGAAAGTACGTCATCATTTTCATTTACAACATGCTGCAAAAATGACTGCGGAACATCTTTTAAAATGTATGTAAACTTTCTTATTATGGAGATGACTGTCCTTATGGTAGTTTGCGTCTCCTCACATATTAAGCTGTTGTGCATACAGTATCTTTCTAGCCTAGAAAGATTGCTTAATGTTGTGTAAATATCACTACATACACTCGCCTGCAAAATTTCTAAGTCAATGACGTTGTTTATCAATTTCGTCCAACAATCCATGTCTTTTATTTCCGCCTCTAGCATATGTTGTATTCCGTACTGCAATGCATAGACGATAGGAAGATGGAATGTTAAGCTAACTTCCTTTTGCTTTAACGCTTGCATTTGAACAACGCAAATATCAGCAAGCGTTCTATGGCCACAAGTCTCAATGATTGTAAAATCATGATTTGGTTTTACTAGCCAATCATTTACTGATTTGTGAAAAAACGACACACATTCATCCTTTAAGACAAGGAGAGAAGAGAGGCAATTAATCAATTTCCCCAACGTTCTGCTTGCAATCGATAGATCTTTGTCAGAGCTAAGTAATCTTTCAAGAAGTGCTAATGGAAGCGGTCGTTTTGAAACTGCTATTACGCTTAAAAATTTAAAAAATTGTTTTTTATCGATGCCTAATTTTCTAAGTTTCCCTTCAAGGCGATTGAAATACCTATCGTAAATCTCTTCAATACCTTCTGGTAAATCTTCGGTGTTAGATATGATGGAGCCGTTTTCAGAAAGTTTACAAAGAAAAGATGCATAGAGCATCAGACCTTCAGATTTTTGAACTAATTTTTGGAAAATCTCTTCTCTTAGAACGTACTCAGATATGGTCGTCAATTTATCTTCAAAAAAAAGTCGAAGATCCTTTAAATTCCGTTCATCATCTGGCTCTAGAAACAAGGGGTTTAATTTTTGGAATTTACGGGCAGTATCTGTTTCTGGTCGGGTTGTGATTAAAAATCGAATAAATCTGGGAAATTTGTGAAAATGTTTGGTTATCAAATCAACAAGTTTCTGCTTTTCTTCCTGCCGGCATTCGTCTAGCGCATCTATTACTATTAGAAAATGCTTACCTGGATCGGGAATGTTTGAAAATGGCTCGTCAAACAACATCGAGAACACTCCTTCGACGTTCTGGTCGTCCAACAACTGCGCTTTATTACCAAATAGGTTATTGGTAAGGTTTTGCTTATATTCGGGAATGACATGACATAGCTGCGATGCCAACGACTGGAGGAGAAATTTTGGATTATTGTACCTACTATTATTATATTGGAAAAAATGGCATGCTCCAAAATGTTCCGAAAAACGTTTACATGTAACTGCGGCGATTGTAGACTTACCCATTCCAGCTTGACCAGAAATAATGAAGGCACGAATATTAGACGATTTGTCGTCGTTTAGCCATTTTGATACCTGATCAAAAACCCACTCACGAGTGCCTTCAGTGTAGTTGTCGTAAAAGGATTGTATTTCGCATTTAAAGTCATGTTCATGAAGGCACTCACTAACGATGTCTTTTGTGGAAGACTTAACTTGTTTCAAGGATTCATCAATTTTTTTACCCAATCGGCCTAGTTCTATCACTACTTCCTTCTCACTTTCATTCCATTCTTTTCTCACACGATCTACTTCCTCCTCTCCACATTGCTCAGCTTTCAGCCTGTCTATTTCGACTTGATTTATACCCAAACTATGTAAAGTCGAACCAACCTCTACCCAATGAGCCTCAAAATCTAACCTACTAACATTTGTGCCAGGGACATGACCAAAGAAATTATTGCGAAACAGCTTAATACGAACAATGTTTGCTTCACGAGAATTGTCAGTGGAACCTGGCATAACATTCCACCCTGTACTAGGTGGAGATAAGCCACAGATATTTCTTAACAGAATAACAAGTAATGTTATATCAAATTCTTGAATATTTGGAATTCTTGGGGAAGATGGATACAGTTTATCCCATTGTGATTGCATAATTATTTTCTTTGTTTTAAACAGTGGATAAAGTGTAGGATGATGAGTAGACAAAACAGTAAGCAAATTACCTGGATGTATGCCTAAGAAGATGTTTCTCAACACCTCTGTCCCTCCATCAACAATCAACCTCATCAACTTAAAGCCACAAATCTTTTCTTCAGAACTCTCAAGAACAGACGATGCCATGATTACCTATAATTCAGATTAGAAAATAAATAAAATTTAGGCAAAAGACAGAATGTTAAAAAGAGGAGATCTTGCTGTCTATAATTTGTATATCATCGCATACCCGAATTGCGCCTAATTTACTGTCAGTTAAATGATAACTTGTAACTGATCTAGATTTAAATCATCCAAACCAAAATATTGCAGCATTATGCACACCATCCTCAGCTACACTACATGCCATGGTTCAACTGCAATTCTGTCCTGATGCTGAACGCGTTATTTGGATGCGCCGTCGACATTATGATTTGGCTTATATCCTGTCTACAGCGAGTTTATTGATATAATTATTGAATTGTAAATAGAGCTGCTAATGAATTCAAGTTAAAATCACTCTTTTTGGAGGTTTATCTCGAATTCGTCAATAAAATGTTTTAGAACTTAAATTTCATATGCGCATGTTTCAATGTCCGCTTGATCGTGTCCACATATCCGCGTTTTCCACCTAATCTTACGGATAGTTGTTCTCGTCAATTAGTCTTTATCGATGACGACTATCCGTCATTTTTGGCAGGCATCTAATTCTCGTTTACCATGTGCAGGCAATTAAAACAATATAAAAAGCATGTTTTTTAAATGAACTAACCATTTACAAAGCAAATTTACCACCATATATTTGTCCAAACAATTATAAAAATTACTGTTATGTGGACTTATCTGGCAGACGTTGGCTCAACCTCGTACCCAGGGCCTTTGCGCGGTTCAGAGGCTCTGGTATGGGAAGCAAAGGCTCTGGTAAACACTGGTCACGTGTGGCCAAAAATAATGGACATTTTTGTAACCTGGCCTTATTAAAGTCATGTCATCCCGGGGGGGGGGGGATGAGCAACTGAACATTGCAATTGGCGAACTAAATTTTAAAAATGCATAGTTTGCCTTTAATTTTTAAAATATAAATGTATAACAAGTGTTTTAAAATTTATATGTTAAAACAGCAGGCAGCAGATTTTAAGCTTGTTTTTAATTTGATGGAAATTATAAACTTTGAAGCCACATGGATTTTGAATGCTATAAAGATCGAATGCAGTATATTCGAGGTACGATTTTATGATGTATATTAAATAAAAATTATATTCTCATATATTATTTATCTGTTTATATATCCTAAATTCCGGCGGAATTGTGGCTCTGTGTTTGCAGTGCCTTTTTAAAGGAATTTTCACTGGGGGGGGGGGGCAAAACAGAAAAAAAGTAGAATGAAAAAGATGAGCCGTCGAGGTTTGCCGAACGCGCGACTGGCGCAAGTCTGAAGAGAGATTTTGTAAAACTTTAATTTATTAACTTCAGCTATATTTTACTTTAAACAATAACTTCAACTCTTTGTAGCTATAATTGTACAGCTATAACCAGTGGTGTAGCCAAACCTTAATTTTGTGGGGGGCGAACCTCACGTCAAAGGCGTGAGACTGTCTAGGAGGGTCCAGAAAATTATGAAACTTAGGGTCCCTGAGTGCGATTTCATGCATTTTGGGGGTGAAATCTAGCAGAATCCGGAACATTATAAAGTACATCGAAGACATGAATTTTCCAGACGGAATTAAATAAATTGGAAACGTCACCTTGAATAATAGGAGTAGGGGTCAGTGTCACCTTATTTTCTCTCTGTGATGTCGGGGGTTGGGGGGCAATGTGATTTTGATCAGAAATGTTGCATTTAAATAATTTTGGGTTCTATGAGACACCATTTCCGCATTCTAAAAATTGTGTTGCATGCTTTTTCATACGATACAGAAATAAGTCTGAGAAATATTCATGCTATGTTGACCGCCACATGTATTTAACAGTTTAAAATCTAAACTAAATCCTATTCTTCTTGGAACCATATCTACAACTGCTTTAACGAGATTTCACAAATCAAGTTCCTCAGTATATCGTCAAAACACTCGGTCGAGGACGTGCTTGTCGGTTTCGGCTTCGGGCGTGGCATGTGCACCTTCCTCCCGGGCTGCTCTGCAGTTTGGTCTTGAGAGGGGGCGGTTTTGTGGCGATTGGAGGTAATATAACTTGATATTTTTAAGAAAAAAATTTCCTCCCAAAAACAAAACACAACGCCTCTGTGGAGGAGAGTGCTAAATAGTCGCAAGGCTTCATGGAAAGGCTAGCATTATATTGGATTGTTTGCATGAAATCTATCGCTATTATGAAATACTCGGTGAAGAACAATATGAATTACACACAAGATGGATGTGGACGAGGCTGTGGAGGAGGTTATGGAAGGGCATAATCTCATTATCAAGTAAATCAACTGCATTTCTGACAGCAATCATGAGCAATTCTGCTTCGCACTTCGGGGGCAGAAATGGCTTTACTGGAGGGGGGTGGGAATTCATTCCCTGGTGGGCAATTGCCATAGATATAGGGGATCTAGATTGTTAACACATACCTAGCGCAGGCGGGGCCTACATGATAAATCCAAGATGGCGGTACAACAGGGCAAAAAGACTATAAATTCTATTACGAAAATCAGGATTTCTGCATTTTTTGCCGTCGCATTGTTTTGAAACTTATTCGGTCAAATTTTATGGTAAAGAGAAACTTACCGCGAAGATTTTGAGCATATATATGATTGAATTGGATGAAAACTCGCAAAATTATCCAGCGATAAAAGTTCGTGTATGGTACTGATATAGTACTATATATGCAACTTGTACAGTTTTGCTTTAATTTTTGCTCACTATTTGCATAAAAAGCAAATTATAACAGACCATAGATGATAGACCCTCATCCAGTGCTCTCATCAGTTTACTTCTCTAACAAGCAAGGGGGGGGGGGTACATAACAGTTCATTTTTCATAATTATGAGGACAGAGCAGATGATGATGAGAGATGCAAGTATAAAACACCATTCACAAGGCTAGATGTTAACATAGCACTGTATTTCTGGGAATAAAACGCTCCAACTGAACAAATGACCATTTCACGAGAACTTTCATCGCTGGATAATTTTGCGATTTTTCATCCAATTCAATCATATATATGCTCAAAATCTTCGCGGTAAGTTTCTCTTTACCATAAAATTTGACCGAATAAGTTTCGAAACAATGCGACGGCAAAAAATGCAAAAATCCTGATTTTCGTAATAGAATCTATAGTCTTGTTGCCCTGTTGTACCGCCATCTTGGATTTATCATGTAGGCCCCGCCTGCGCTAGGTATGCGTTAGCAATCTAGATCTCCTATATCTATGGCAATTGCCCCCCACCCCCCTCCAGATATATAGTTAAAAAAGGCACTGTGTGTTTGTATAATTAGTTTTCTTCGTCTAATGGTTCCTCCAGCTTTCGCTTTTGGATATAAACCCGCCTTCATGCCTGATACAGTTTTTGTTATAAATCTGCATCCTTCACTAAATTCAAAATTCCAGCTTGCTCAAAAAATATTCAGTCTTTCATAACTGGAGTTCTCTTTGACATGTAAAATCATCAAGCTGTACCCTCAGTAAAGTACTTATTTAACTGGCTGACTATTACAGTAGTCAAAAGTCGATAAATGAATACATGCAAAATTTACAAATTAACTGCCCTCATTCCAACCATTGGTCTCTGACTCATCCAATAAATAATGATAATAGAAAAGTGTGAAAATGCTAACCTTACCCGGTACCTAACTCTCTGTATGTGTCAAGAAAATTGGATTACATTAATTTTACAGTCAGGTATTCTTTTCTTTATCGCCTCATTACTCTGGTTTATGACTTTGATGTTAAAAGAAATTGGAGAAAATGTTCCCCCTCCTCTTCCCTAAAATATTCTCCATAGCTCCCAATTTTAGTATTTT